TTTATTTTTTATTAATTTTATTGAGAAACAAATAGCAATGAGACAGTTTCAAAACTGATTAGTAGGACAGCTTCAATAATTAATACATTGTATGTTATTGTCTTCATAGTGGTTATTCATAGTACAAGATGCAGACAGGATATCCTGACAAACACTATTAGTACAAATCTTTCTTCTCATTGAATTAAGAGAAAGTAGCTGTATATCTATCCTAACGATTTTGTATATACAGATACAAAACGGTCCTTCATTTGCATCCCTTTTTAAAGCTAAAATTTTAAATTTAATATTTTATCAATACTAAAATTAAATTATCCCTCTTACTTTGGACCATCACTGTCATTCTTTTCTGAAGAAGTTCTGGAAGGTTCTGGAAGTTCTCATTGTGCACTTTTAGTTGTGCTGTCATGGCTGCCTGAATACTCTGCACTGATTCCAAAGGTTTACCTTTCAAGGCCACTTCAAATTTGAGGAAGAGACAGAAGTCTCAGAGTGACATTTCTGGTTAATAAGGGAATGGGACCACATTATAATATTTTTAGGGGCTTCTATTTCTGGTTGAAGGCACTTGGAAGTAGCGTTTATTATATTTTATTATTATAGTTCATAAATATATTCTAAAAAGAAAACGTCCAGAACTGCCTCGGAAAATGGCCAGAACAAAGGGATAAGTGTGTCCAAGGTAAGCCAATTATTTAAGAAGGAGTAGTAGCAATGTTTATGCGTGTGTGTAGGGGGGTGGTGATTTTTTTAGGAGAAATATACACTGTATTTTTAAATAGAACTTGTATATTTTTGTCAGGTATTCGTTAGTTCTGTGAAATAAACTAATGGAATATAAAAAGCAGTAAAGCATGTGTATTGTAAATAACCAGGGGAGGGGACATGTCCTTGAGAATAAAACTTTTGAACAAAAGGAAGGGGGATGAGAAAACACAGCAAAATAGCACAGGAGATCACCTTAAACAGTCAAATGGGGTAAGATGACATTTACGTGCCATTCAGGTCACTTTAAAGGCTTTGATATCACTGTACGCGCATTTGGAAGCCAGTAAACAGTTTACATACAAATATAGTGCAAGCTGATTCT